CAAAGTCCTAGTTAAAAAAAAAAGTGATGTGCATAGTAGGCAGGATATTGAAAGCAACATGTTAAGATGTTAAAACAGCATCCTGGTAGCAGTAAGTTCACTGAGCATCAAATTTGGGGCCCTAAATACCATTGCTCAGTAAAAGACTAGAGCTGCTTGGAGAAGTGACTGACACCAGTGAGTGAGGATGTACTCAAATGGTAATACATTGATGTTAAAAGGCATAGAAGCAGGAGAGCCTCCAAGAGACCAAATTTAAAACCATTTGAGAATCAAAAAGAATATTGAAGATAACAGGCATAATAACAGTGAAAAATGCAAGACAAAGAAAAAACCAAAAGCTGTTTTTACAGATAAATGCCAGTTAATATATGTGTAAGGAATACGGGAATTTTACAAATCATTATTTTGTAATCATCAGTGTAATAATTGAATTAGGCAGAGATCATCAAAGAATCTGAAATCATTAAGAGGAAGACTGTTGGGAACAAAAATATTCAAGTATTATCAAATTACTACTCCACATATTATTTATTAATTACAAAGAGAAAAATATTCTGTGAAAATAATGTGATCCGTAAGTCACATTTACTCAGTGGTTGAGCCTTACATGTCTAGTAGTGAGATGGCCCAACATCATGCTCTTTCTCGTGTGTTACAGTGGGAGGCTCACACGAGAGCTATGTAATGGTGATGTTAGAAGTCTTTGATCTGAATCTAACACTCAGGAAATAGACCCATCTCCAATGTGGGGTGTTATATGAAGGGACAACTGAACAGGACTCCTTTAAGGAGTGAATGTTCTGAAGAATTAGTGAAGTGGTGGCAGGTGGAGGAGAGTTGAGGGGAGAGTGTTCTGCATTGACCAATTCAGTGTATGAACCTTCAATAGATTGGGGAAAGATGTCTAAAGAACATGTGAGAGATGATTAAGAAAATTTTTGTGGTGAGTATGTTGGATAATACTGTTTTGCTTTTGGTACTGGGGATTGAAACCAGGGGCACTTTACCACTGATTTACATCCCCAGCACTTTTTATTATTATTTTTTGAGATAGGGTCTCTCTAAGTTGCTGAGGCTAGCCTCAAACTCATGATCCTCCTGCCTTAGCATCCCAAGTCTCTGGGATTATAGGCAAGAGCATGATCAAGGCCTTGGCATTTTAAATTTGAATGGAACTTGTAATAGTAATTTAGCACACTCCCTGTTAAAAAGAAACAAGGGTGGGGCTGTGGCTCATTGGTAGAGCACTTGCCTGGCATGTGTGAGGCACTGGTTTGATTCTTAGCACTGCATATAAATAAATAAAATAAAGATAGGTCAAAAACTAAAATATATATACATATACACATATATATGTAATTTATATATAATATATATGTATATAATATATATATGTAGATTATATATATAAACAAAATCCTGCACAAGCATAGTACTGAAAAAAAAGAAGAGGAAAAAATTCCAGAGTTTCTTTTGAAGTTTTATTGGGGCAGTACTGCCTATAGAATCTTGTACCTTAAGTCTCTTCTGTTTCTTTGATTTCTAGATTCAAGAAAGCTAGTTTATAGGAGTTATTTTGGTTTTTGATTTATTGTATTTTCTTATACAATACTTACTATCTTATTAAATAGAAATTGTGCCTTCAGGGGCACTGAAATAACATTACTTTAATCCTAAATACTTTAGTATAAATATCAAGGATTTTAATAACACACTCCACAATGCTATTTTACCTAGTAATGTTTCTTATTATTATACCCAGTCCAGGTTTATACGTTGCTATGTGTTTAAAAATTTTTGGGTTGGGGGGGCGGGTTAGGGTTGTGGCTCAGAGGTAGAGCACTCGCCTAGCATGTGTGAGGCCCTGGGTTCAATCCTAAGAATCACATAAAAATAAAATAAATATATTAAAAAAAATTTTTTTTTACAATTAATTTGCTCAAATCAGCATCTAAACAGAATCTATACATTGCATATTTTTGGTCTTTTTAGTCTCTTCTAATATTTTTTTAAAAAAATTTTTTGTAGTTGTAGATGGACCCCATACCTTTATCTTGTTTATTTTTAAGTGGTGCTAAGGATTGAACCCAGTGCCTCACATGCACCAGTCAGGCAGTCCGCCCCTGAGCCATAGCGACAGCCTCTAGTCTTTTTAAATTTTAATAGACCCCTTTTTATTTTAAATACCATTTATTTATTAACAAAGCTAGTTTTTCTATCGTATAGAATTTCCCATATTGTGAACCCTGTTGTTTCCTTGTGGTGTTTAGTTACTTTAAAAAACATTTTTTTTTAAATTCACTTCTTAAATGGTCTTTTCTATTGCATCCCATCAAGAGGTCCATAATATCTGATCATCCACTGTTTTTTTTTTTTTGTAATGGAGATTGAACCCAGGGGCACTTATATCCCACCCCTTTTTTATTTTATTTAGAGACAGGATCTTGCTAGGTTGTTTAGGACCTTGCTAAGTTGCTGAGGCTGGCTTTGAACTTGTGATCCTCCTGCCTCAGCCTGCCGAGCCACTGGGATTACAGGTGTGTGCCACTGTGCCCGGCTCCGATCATCTACTTTTAATGATTGGAATAAGTAGTCTTTAAATTTTTTTGTATTGTTGTTTGAAGTGTACAAATCTTAAGCACATCTTGATGAATGCTGACATGTGTATACCACCCAGTTCAAGATATAGGACAGTAGTGCCTCAGAAAGTTCCCTGTGTCCCTTTCTAGTCAGCACTCAACCCCAAAGTAACCACTATTCTGGCTTTTATCATCTAAAATAGTTGTGTAGAATGGTGAATTCTATTCTATCCTTTATTTCGACATTGCCTATTTTTTGATAATTTTTTTTTAAGAATTTGACTATATTTTAGACTTAGAAATATGGGACTAGCATGTTACTGAATATCTTTCATCTGTTTCAAATGTTACTTTACTTCATTTGCTTTATCATTTGTTTTTTTTCTATGTGCCCTCCATATTTATATATGTATGTATACATATGTATATACATGTGTGTATACACATTTCCCCTTTTTCTGAATTCTCTGAGAGTAAATAATAAGCATAATGCTACTTACCTTTAAAAATAAGGATGTTCTTTATATATTCACAGTACATTTATCAAAATCTGGATTTTAACATTGATGTGATACTGTTAGCCAATTTACAGACTTTATTTAGATTTTATCTATTATTCAGATAATATACCTTAAAGGAAAAGAAAATTGCAGATTATGAGTTTAATTCGATTGTTTGGTCTTTTTAATTTTCTTTAAAACAACACTGAGGAACAGTTCATCCATCTTGTTTTTATGGCTTTGAAAATTTTTATGAATACATGCCAGTTATTTTACTATTGTATCCCTCAACTTGGGTTTCTGTGTTTTCTCATAATTCAATATGGATGAGTTATGCATTTTCTCTTGGCATATCCTGGTAGTGATATATCTTAGCAGAGCCATGAGATGTCAATATGTCCTTTTTCTGGTGATGTTAACTCTGATTTAGTGTCAACCAGGTTCCTCCACTGAAAGTTTTTTTTCAGGCTGGACGGGATCTAACTCAGTGACAGAGAACTTGCCTAGCATGTACAAGGCTGTGGTTTAGATCCCCAGTCTTGTAAAAATGGGGGGAAAAAGGAGGGGGGGGGGAGAAAATAAAAACAAACTTTTTTTTCTGAACCCAATTGTCAAGCTACTTTTTTTTTCTTTTATAATTTATAGGTGAACACTTTGAGACTGTCTTATGCTAATTCACTAGTTTTAGCATCCATTTACAATTTTTTGCTTAGATCAGTTACTACTGAGATGGTTGCCCAAAGACTTGTTTTCTAAGTTCATCATTTATTCTGTATTTGTTACTTGGAAATAGTTTCTCCTGGTCCTTATTTATACACACACACACACATACATACAAGTATGCATTTATTTATTACTAAGGACTATGAATATATATGTGGATGCATATTTTTATCAAACAAGTTTGGTAGTCAAGATATTTGTTCCAACTGGATTTAATCATTTTAAACTGTGAAGACACCAGGCATTTAAGGTTGGATTTTGAAATATCATTATTTTCAATTTTATTCTGGAAAAGTTCTAAAATGTAAGTGTATAAAGACAGTAGGGTAGGGAAGTCTTTATTTCTTGGTTTGGTCCAAGGAATAACCAATATCATTTGGTTTATTGTGTGTGTGTAGTGTGTGTGTGTGTAAAACATAAATATATCTTCCAACCCTTCTATTTTACTTCTAGGAATTTAACATAGATAGATATACTTTGTAAGAGTTTTATAAAAATTATTATATTGTTTTCTTATACCTAGAAAAATTTATCTCATCTGAAAATAGATTGGAACTAACATATATTTTTCTTCGTGAGTGTTGTTATAATACTTAAACAGCTGTTTAAGTATTGATGTGAATGGCCTTTCAAAATGTACAGAATGAGGGGCTGAGGCTATAGCTCAGTGGCAGAGCACTTGCCTAGCATGTGTAAGGCACTGGGTTTGATCCTTAGCACGACACACAAGAAAATGAAACACTTAAAATAAAGGCACGCTGTTTCATCTACAACTACCAGGTAATGAATGAAAATGAATATGTATTTGTCTGTATATTCATAGAGTGAATAGTTTTCAAAGGAATCACAAGAAACTGATAACATTGGCTGCCTTTAGGGAGTAAAATGTTACTTGGGAATGGGATGGGGATTTTTTTTCCCTTGTAATTCCTTTTTTTATCTTTCGACTTTGTATTTTAATTAAATTATTTTAAAAATTCATACAATGAGTATCTAAAATTACTGAAATGTAATAATTCTAATCCGAGTTTTCTTATATAGAAATTTCTTATGTAGAAATAAGTATATATAAGTATGTTTTCATTATGTTAATTTAAGATAATGGTAGAAAGACTGGTTTAAAAAAATGGCAACTTTATATACCATGGTATATAAGAGTCTTGAAAACATTATTTGGTTTGTTTTTTCTTGGCAGCATGCATATGCACTAGAACTTCTATTTGATCAATTACATGAAGGAGCTAAAGCTCTTGATGTAGGATCTGGAAGTGGAATCCTTACTGCATGTTTTGCACGTATGGTAAGAACTTTATTTTTCATTCTGATCCTAACAGAAGTATATTATCTGATTATATTTTTTTCACCAGTGGATTGATTTCTTTGCCTTTTGTTCCATTAACATAGCATCTGGAATATGTATCTCTTAGGATTTTTGTTTTTGTTGTTGTTCTTATAAGTAACAGAACATTTAACCAAACTGGCAGAACTGAAAGGAAATTTACTTTGGTTATATAATGGAAAAGTTGAGGGGTATATCTGGCTTCTTGTGTGGGTAGATTTAAAAGAAGACCAGATGTAACTGACAATGGGTTTCTCTCTGGTTCTTGCTTTGCCTTTGTTTCCTCCATATGTTAGCTTCATTATCAGATAGTATCCCTAGTGACCCCAAAACGGCAGCTGGGAGCTCCCAAACTACATTTTTCCAAGTTCACATCTGGCAGAAAGGAGTAAAGTCAATTCAGTTTTCAGATACTCCTACAGGTTTATTAGAAATGAAGGTAGAGCTTCTTTTACAATAGGAAAAAAGTGCCTTGTTTATGGTACTTCAGCTTTAAGTGTTTTTTTGTTTTGTTTTGTTTTAATTAGTTATACATGACAGTAGAATGCATTTATGCACTTTGATATACATAGATGGGATATAATTTTTCATTTTTCTGAGTGTACATGTTGCAGAATCATATTGGTCATGCAGTCACATATTCACATAAAGTAATAATGTCTGTTTCATTCTGTCTTTCCTATCCCCATATCCCCTCCTCTTCTCTTCCATCACTTCCCTCTACCTAATTTAATGTTGTACTTCAGCTTTTATTACCATATTTTTTTCTGGTAAATGCCTGTACACAGTGTAAGTTGTGGTTCCTTTAAAGCACCATAAAGATTCATCAGTGCTTAGATAATCAAATCAGATTGGTTATATGAAATCTTGTGGCCAGAGACTAGGTAGAAGATTTGGGTCTTGTTGAAATGAGGATTTATGGATCTGTCTTGAACTAGATTCCTAGATTCCGTGTAACTTGCCATAAGTTTATAATCATCAGATCCACTAGAATTTGAGCTCCAGGGAGATGGAAATTTTGTCTGAATTTTTTTTTTTTCATTGGTGTATCCTAAGCATCTAGAATAGTACTTGGCACATAATGAGATCTTGTATATTTTTCAGATGTTGTTTTGTGGAGTCGTGTTCTTGCTATGAGATATTAGAGATTTTTGTTCAAAAGGTTAGAAATAGCACTTAATTAGTGACGTGTTATCTATACTTGTCATGTTAATGGTTTTAAAGGAATATTCGTTTTTTAAATATTTTTATTACTTGTTAATGGACCTAAAAATTTATATGTGATGCTAAGAATTGAACCCAGTGCCTCACACATGCTAGGCAAGTGCTCTATCACTGAGCTACAAACCCAGCCCCAGAAATATTAATTTTTTTAAATATTTATTTTTTAGTTGTAGTTGGACACAATACCTGTATTTCAAGTATTTATTTTTATGAAGTGCTAAGAATCCAACCCAGGGTCTCACACATGCGAGGTGAACGCTGTACCACTGAGCCACAACCCAGTCCCAGGAATATTCATTTTAAAAGTTTAAATTTGAATACCTTCTTTTAAAATGATATCAATGTTTTTTACACATGCTAAATAGTATTTTAAGTGCTTTTCCTGTATTATTTTTCTAATCCTCATATCCTTTATAGGATATATACCCCTTTCTTTCTCATAGTCAAGGAACCTGATTCATAGAATGAGAGGTTTATTTGCTAAAGTTATGTAGTTTTAAGTGGTGAAATGTAGACAGGAACCCAGGTTCCTATCTGACTTCACAGGCTTTATTCAGTTAAATGTTTTTACAGGTAACATTGATACTCAAGTCCTTTTCATATTTTTATGTGTTTTATACTTTCCACTAAGAGCAGTAGAATCAGGTGCAGGAATCCCTTCTCACAAAATTTCTATATAAATTTTAATATTTAAAGTTATACTTTTAGGTTAATTTAAGTAAAAATTATTATAGTACCATTAAATATTGGTAGTTAAATCTTACTTCAAAATTCTGGATTTAAAAATTAGAAATCCAGCCAGGCACAGTGGCACACGCCTGTAATCCCAGCAGCTTGGGAGGCTGAGGCAGGAAGATTACTTTCAAAGCCAGCCTCAGCAACTTATCGAGGCCCTAAGCAACTTAGTGAGACCCTGACTCTAATAAAACATAAAAAAGGTGTGGGGATGTGGCTCAGTGGTTAAGAGCCCCTGGTTTAATCCCTGGTACCAAAAAGAAGAAAAAAAGAAAAATTTAAATTTTCCAGTATTATCAGCTTTTGTAATTTATTCCAGTTTCTTTATTGATTAAATATAATTTCTCAGTGAGGCTTATAGTTGAGAAAGTTGATGTGACGAATAATTTATAATAAACTGAATGGTGAATAATCTAATTGGAGGATTAGTTCATTTTTTATTTCTCATTGCAGGTTATGACTTTAAGGAAACATTTCAGTGATACTTTAGAAATACAAATGTTACCCAATGAGCTATTGAATTATTTTCTCTTTTCTAGGTTGGATGTAATGGAAAAGTCATAGGAATTGATCACATTAAAGAGCTAGTAGATGAATCAATAAATAATGTCAGAAAAGATGATCCAACACTTTTGACTTCAGGGAGAGTACAACTGGTTGGTGGGTATCAGAAAAGTTTTTAATTTCTTTTCCAGAGGATTTTTTAAAAAATACTTTTTTTAGTTGTACATGGACACAATGTATTTATTTATTTTAGGTGGTGCTGAATATCAAATCCAGTGACTCACACGTGCTAGGCAACTGCTCTACCACCAAGCCACAACCCCAACCCAATATATTCACTTTTCTTAAACTAAGAAAACAATTACTTTTTGGAGATTTTTATTTTTTATTTATAAGTCTTTTTCCTTTTTAAATTTTTTTTTAAACCAGGGATTGAACCCAGGGGCACTTAGCTCCTGAACCATGTCCCCAGCCCTTGTTTGGGAGAGAGGGGCGGGAAACCGGGGATTGAACTCAGGGGCACTTGACCACTAAGCCACATCCACAGCCCTATTTTGTATTTTATTTAGAGACAAGGTCTTGCTAAGTTGCTTAGGACCTCCCTAAGTTGCTGAGACTGGCTTTGAAATTGAGGTCCTCCTGCCTCAGCCTACCTAGCCGCTGGGATTACAGGTGTGTGCTGCCGCACCCAGCCTGATTTACAAATATTCTAAAGACTAGCCCTTTGTTGGTTTATGCATATCATAATTCCCCCCCCCCATCATAATGTGCCTTTTCATCTTATTGGTCCCCTTTTAATAAATAAAAATTCTTAATTTTTATTTATTAAAAGAGGACCAAGAAGATGAAGGTAGTAAGACTTACCAGTGTTTCCGGTGCTTTCTGTCCTTAAGGCTATCTGAAATCATGAAGATAAATCCTTCTATTATTATTTATTATTTTAGCTCTTCCTGTTTGGGTCTTTGATCTTCCTGACATTGATTTTTGTGTATTTGTGAGGGTAGGGATCCAATTGTATTATTTTTTCATATCAACTATTGCAGTTTCATTTATTCAAAAATTTATGATTCCCCCATTTAAACCTCCTATACTGTAATTCTTTATGCCAGGTTTGATGTAAACAGATTTTTGATGCACAACTTGTTTCTCTTTCAGTGGGAGATGGAAGAATGGGATATGCTGCAGAAGCCCCTTACGATGCAATTCATGTTGGAGCTGCAGCCCCAGTTGTGCCACAGGCAGTGAGTTGGGATTTTTTTTTTTTTCCTATTTGTATGTTTTATTCAACTAGAACTCTAAAAGTTTTATATAGAAATGGCTTCTAGATGATGCTCAAAATATGCCGAAACTTTCATTTTGTGCATTTTGTTTACAATTAGCTGAAATTCTTTTTATTTTCCTCTTCATGTGTAAATAGTGGTATACATGACATGAAAATTACTAAACTATAGCATATGGATATCTTATTTGAAGCAGTGTTTAATCAAGGAAAAAACTAGGACAAAAGTAGACTGGGAAAATCCCTCAGGATTCATGACATGATAATCAGTTTGGTGTTTTCTTAAATACCAGACTAGCAAGATTATGTTTGGCACAGAGGAGATACCGGAAGATACTCGTCATACATTATATCCTCAAAAAACATTCTAGAAATATATTTAATAGAGAAGTGAATCGTATGATAGCATAGCATATATATATATATATATATGTATGTACATAATATGTATATACAGACACATATACATGATAGAAAAGAAGAATCTTGGGTTAGATTTACTGAAATACCAGGTTTCTATTACACATAAGTTTTATGTAATTCTTGGTTGGATAACCAGGGTCGAAAAGTTTTATCCACTCTCAATCTAGAAAGGGTTGTTTTGTTTTTTCATGTGTATTTATTTTATTGAATCTAGGAGAACTTTACCACTGAGCCACATCCAGCCCTTTTTTTCTTTCTTTTTCTTGGTGTGGTGCTGGGGATTGAACCCAGGGTCTTATACATGTTTAGCAAGCGCTCTACGAACAGCTATATTCCCAGCCCCTTTTTTCTTTTAATACAGGGTTTCAATAAAGCTGGCTTCAAACTTACCATCCATGTGCTTCAGCCTCCTGAGTCAGTGAGATTTACAGGCATATGCCACTGCACTTGTCTCATGTTTAGATTAGTTAGAAGATGAAAATTGGGGCCAGGGATGTAGCTTAGTATAGTAGAGTCCTTGCATAGCCTGTGCTCTGGTTCCATACCCCACCCCACCCCCCCAAAAAAAAATGGTGAACACTGGGGGATTTATTCTGGTCATTGATTTACTGCTTACTGACTGAATGACTTTAGGAAAATCACTTAATCTTTCTGGGTATTATCTGTTTAAAAAAATTACTAAACCAGTGATTTTAACACATTTTAATTGAACTATTAATATATATAGAAATTATACGTTATAAATGAATAGTGCAAGAATTTTAACATGAACACATGAAAAGTTTTTAACTATTCTTTTAATATATTGGCAGCCTCCAGTGAAGAGTTAAAATCTCAAATAGAATTATGTGTAAATGAACAGGATGGGTATAATACTCATCTTTCACATTAAGACCCTGAAATGATCTTGAAGGACAGTTCTAGATTTAGCTCAATGTGAATTTAATTGTTGTAGCACTTGAAGTAGTATAGGAATCTGTAGACATCTGATTAAACTTAAGAGATGTGCTAAAGGGGCTTTCCAGTTTTAAGTGAGCAGAGTAAAATGTTTATGCTTCCCCTGAAATACTACCTAAAAAAACTAGGAAAACAAACAGAAGCACAAATTCCATACTCTTTTGAACAGAAGATCATACCTGCAATGTGGACTCCTTACTGTCTGTGATAGATGGAGTTATAGCTGACTCAGAAAGGTAGAGAAAGCAGAAACCAAGCAGATTACAGAGAAGACTATCAATGCAGAAGCAGTTTGCTCTGCACAGTACTGAAAAGGTTTAGGAATTGGAGCCATTGGGATGTTGGATATCAGAGGAAGCGTAAGTCTGAAACGAAGGTTTGCAGGGCTGGGGTTGTGGCTCAGCGGTATAGTACTCGCCTGTTGCGTATGAGGCCCTGGGTTCGATCCTTAGCACCACATAAAAATAAATAAAATAAAGGTATTGTGTCCAACTACAACTAAAAAATAAATATTAAAAAAAAGAAGGTTTGCTGCTGAAAACTCTTGAGAAACAGCTCCCAGCCCTAAGTAAGAAATTTCACCAAAACAGAAAAAACATAATTCTATAATCTGAAAAGATCTACTGAATGCCTCGCTAATGAATTTTTAAAATAAGAAAGAAGAACCACAATATCATCACAGATTTCAGAATTTTCAGGATAAAAAGAAGATTCTAAAAGTTTCCAGAAAAACAAAACCAGATACCTATTAAGGACTGGCAAGCAGAAAGACTTCAGACTGCAAAATAACAGTGTTAGAATCAACATGTCAGAGAAGCAAACCATCATATTTCGAGCTAAAAGTGATTTCCAACCGTGACTTCTCTTTGAACCCATTATCACCAAATGAATAGAATAAAAAATGGCTTTAGACTTGGAAAGCTCAATCTGTCTCACATTTTATGCACTATTTCACAAAATGCTTCTGGAGGAAGTGCTTTAATAATTTCATCAAAAGATGGGAAATGATAGAAGAGAGAGACAGTAGGGAAAACCAAAGAGAGAAAGCCATAGGATCTGGGAAGTAGAGTATCTTGGTCAGAGGTAATAGGAGTTCCCAGGATTATTGTACAGGCAAGTCCCAATAGATCTAGACCTTTCTACAGACAAGACCAAAAAAGGCACCTCTTAGAAGTGAAATTTTCATCAAGAAGCTGTTGAAGAATAGAAAGATTTAGAGACAGTTACAAATTAAGTAGATGAAAAAGAAAAGACTTCAATTTTAGTTAGAGGGAAAATAAAACTATTATATAAGAAAGGAAGCAATCACTGGGTACCTCATGGCTCAGGAAGAAACTGTATGTACACATAACTCAAAATGGCTTTAAAGAAAATTATGATTGGTTAAATTGGAGGAAGGAAGTAGACTGTATATTAAATCTCAATCCTTATCTAGCATGTATTTTGAAATATAAAGGTAAATACCAGAAGACCAGACTAAAAGGATTTAAAATGACTGGATTTAGGGAATAAGACTGGGTCTGGGGAGAAGCCATCTGCTGTTTTTACTATAAGTTTTAAAATTTAGTATTTCTTTGATAAACTTAAAATGAAAAAATTAAAATAGACTTTTGTCAACCAAAGTTTAATTGAGGGCACCCTTCCCTGGGGTAATTCTATCTAAAGTCAGTCTTCTTTATTGTTTTTGAATAATGGTGGTATGTAAGGCTATAGTCAAATGGCAACATATGATTTAAATATTTTCCGCCTAGAGGGGCTTTTCAGTTCTTCCTTGATAGAGATGTCCTCATTCTAATGCATTCTAGCTCTACCTTCCCTCATAACGGTGCCAGTAATCCTAAATTCAGTCGTGTCACTGCAGCTTCCTTATCTTTGCTGCAATGATGCCCTAGATTCTACAATAATAGGACAGGATTTCTTGCTGATTTTTCTACACTTAACACCCCTTTCCAACTCACAAAGATCTGAAACAGTCAGAATTTTCGGCTTTGTCCTTGGCCTCCTCAAGAGGCTAGCTCTATTAGGTGGTTCAGTTCAGACATGTTGAGCACTGCAGTTGTACCAGGTGCTGTTAGGTGCTGGGCCAGAGGCACAGTCCCTATCCTCAAGGAACTTGTAGTTTAGTAGGGGAGGCTGAGAGGTAAATGAGTGAGTTGAGTCGTGGTAAAACACTCCAAGTATGTATAATTATCCCCTCTGTATCTGCCAGTTCTGCATTCTCAGATTCAGCCAACCATGGAGAAAAGAGAAAATATTTGGGGAAAATAATGTAAACTGCTAAAAATCAAAACTTGAGTTTGCTGTATCCCAAGTACTATTCTGAATCCAAGCAAATGAAGTGGTATGTGGGCCTTGGGTTAGGTATTATAAGTAATTTAGAGATGATTTAATGTATATGGGAGAAGCTGAGCATGGTGGCACACACCTGCAGTCGCAGCTACTTGAGAGGCTAAGTCAGGCCAGCGTGGGCAACAAAACCATGTCTCAAAGAAAATATTTTAAAAGTGAGATAAAATATAAGAGAGGTTGTGCATCGGTTATATGCAAATACTGTGCCATTTTATATAAGGGGCTTGAGTAATGTGGTTTGAGATGTTCTGAAACTAATCCCTAAGAATGCATGCTAAACAAAGCCCACTTCTGCTTTCTGCACACTGAACATTGCTTATAGTGATGTCAAATTATTGTTAACATAAACTCAAGTGCTTATGTTTTTGTTTTTTTTTCTTTTAGCTAATAGACCAGTTAAAGCCTGGTGGAAGATTGATATTGCCAGTTGGTCCTGCAGGTGGAAATCAAATGTTGGAGCAGTATGACAAGCTACAAGATGGCAGTGTCAAAATGAAACCTCTTATGGGAGTGATATATGTGCCTTTAACAGATAAAGAGAAGCAGTGGTCCAGGTGGAAGTGATTTTCTCTTCTGCTCTTACTTCTTCCACACATGCAAGGTGAAAGGGTGTGGATTTTAAGACATTAGAGTACAGAAGCAGTTTTTTTGATTGCCACCTTCATGCTACTCCATTAAAACATCAAAAAATCATTACATTAAACATGTGAAAAAGTTTGCATGGTCTGCCCTTCTTTTGGTTTACCTCATATCTTTGGGAAGCGATGGGTGAGACTTGATTGGCACATGGTGTTTCTTCTTTCTTTTTATTTTTTTAAGAGATGTTCAACCCCAGCTCAGTACTTTCTAAGGATATTTTATTCATTATCTGCCACTCTGTTTCTATATGTGTAGATCATTTTTATAGCTGCTGTGTGGGCATGGAAACAGAGGCTTTGGTCTGGAAAAAGAGGACCATCATTTCCTGTCTCATTCACTCTGTTGCATTGTTGCAAAAAGCAAGAAGGAGAAAAATACAGTTATCTCAGTTTTTGAAAGTGTCAGAATTCCAGAGAGGACATTCTAAGTTTTGGCTTGATTTCCTTCTTTCATTCAATTCATAGATGTATGAGAGCCTGTGTCTGTTTCACATCCAGCCATCATTTCAGATTCACCATTGAGTGAAGTTTTCACTGTTCTGTATACTAGACCAGCCAATTTTTAAGCTATTCTGGCTATATTCCTGGGGAGGGGAAGGATTCTATAGAAGCTGTTCAGTAAATGCCCAAGTCTCACAAACCCACCCAGAGGCCAGCCCCATACAGGGTAACAGTCTTCATGGCATGTGTGAAGTTCATTGTGAAGATAATGCCTGCTTTTGTTCAGTGGTGTTTTTTGGTTTTGTTTGGTTTTGGCATTATTGGGGATTAAACCCAGGACCTCTTGCATGCTAGGCAAACACTCTACCACTGATCCATACTGCCAGCCCCTTTTAAATTTTATTTTTGAGACAGGATTTACTGAGTTGCCTGGCTGGCCTTGAACTTTGTAGCTGGGCTACAGACATGCCCCCACAGTAGCTGGCCCTGCTTTTAATTTACAGCAAAATCTGAATATTCTGTTTGAGGCCAAAACTTTTCCTTCTCTTCGCCTTTCTTCCCTCCCTCCTCCCTTTGGTGAGAGGGAATGCGACTAGTACATGGGAGTGCCATTAACTGAATGCTTGAAGTTGAACTCCAGCTTATAAGGAAGGCTTTACATTTTCCTTGTCTTAGAATCTATTTTCAGTTGACAAAAATATTCTGTTTTTAAGATAACTGTTTTCTTAGTAAGTAAATGATAATTTAAGCTTGGTAGACCTTGATTTGTTTTCTATAAAGAAAGCCATTTTTTTGTAAAAAAAATGTGTGTTAATTGTAAAAATGATAATGAATCTAACTCAGTTGTTAAAATAGTGTTTTAACTAAATTCAACTTGGCCTTTTCCTAGATATCTCACTAAAAATTATATTTTATCCTCTCCTTTTATAGCTTAGCTGCTTCCTTTGAATTCTGTCCTGGAGTATTGCTATTTCTTAGAAAAATCATTTTAAAAACTACCAGTCTTTTTGGTTAGCATCGGATATAGTTATTAACAGCTAATAACAACGTGCCTTCACTTTGCTTCTAGTATGCTTAAAAAAATTATATAATTGTATAAACATTACCATTGTTTATAAAAGGGACAACTATTTTACTGAAATAACTGAAATTTGATATCAAGTAAAAGCTCAGATTTATAAATGTAAAATGTTTCAATTTATAAAGTATTGAACACATCTGACCTAAAATATAATGAGGAATGAATTATAAAAAGGCATTTTATTTTTATAACCAGAGGTTGATTTACCATGAAGCTAATGTAGTTGAAGTTCCTGGGCCCTCGCTTGTTAAGGTCCTTCCTGGCCCTGGCCCTAATCCTATATATGTATTTTTTAAAATACATTTATTTATTTATTTATTTTAAAAAACTGCATGTTTTAATTTGGGAAATGAGAAAGTGTTCACAAGCAACCCAGAACAGGTGCTAGCAAGTTCATTCCCATCAGTCACACTTGTGGCAGAAGTTCAGGATCTGCAGAATCACTTTGTCCAGTACCTCCTGAGATGCTCTTTCAACTGAGGAATGGTAGGCAGTAGTTACTGGCACTCATGACAATGAAGGGGCAGTTTCAAGAGCTCAGACATCCATCTCAAACAGTCACTCTTGATTTATTTTTAAATGATGCTGCTGAGAATTGAATCCAGTGCCTCATATGCTAGGCAAGTGCTCAGCCACTGAGCTACAGCCCCAGCCCCTATGTATACACTGTTTTCTTTTTTCTTCATAAAGAGGTTTCCCTCCCCTCCCTTCCCCACCCACTCCCCTCCTTTTCCCTTATGTAGTCTCCCTGTGTTGTCCAGTCTTGCCTCAAATTCAGTTTCCTTCTGCCTCACCCTCCCAAATAGCTGGGATTACAGATGTATGCCACTGTACTTGACTAAGGACTGACTTCTTTTTTTTTCCCCCAGGTAACATATATGTATTTCAATGGCAGATTTTTATATGTCAGTGCTAAGGACATTCTGAATAACATTCATGAATGTTATTCATTCATGTTTCCCACTATGGAAGGCACTGAGTTCCAGGACTCTTTCATTCTAACATTGAAGCTTATAGAGCTTATAGTCATATAATCCAAACCAAGACCATGACCAACAGGCAGTTACAGTGTATGGTAGGAAGACTCAGCAGGGAGTAACTGAAGTGTTTAAACCAGGCAGTGAAATTATCTGAGTTATATTCCAGAAAAACAAGTCTGGCTGTTACGTAGAAAGTAAATTGGAAAGGGACAAAACTAGTCGGAAACAGATGTTCATAGCAATTCAGGGGTGAAATGAGATGGCCTGAATCAAGGTAATGGTAGTAAGGATAAAAAGAAGTGAATTGATAGCTACAATATCAACACTATTTTCTAAATGCCCATCTCACATTTGAAAATTGTTACAAAGTTTTTTGGTCAGCTTCTTGCCAGGCTATATGATTTCTGTTGTTTGCTCAGGTTTAATTAATAATTCATCATAGTGTCTTTCTGACACATCACCAGCGTGTCCTCCTCCTTTTTCTAGCTTTCCAGGGCTAGTTGCAGTGCTTGGATGATAGTGAGACCCAATTTTTGCCAAGGAAATATGACAAACTGTATTTTAAAAATAAATTGTACACCTGTAATCCGGTGGCTTGAGAGGCTGAGGCAGAAGGATCACAAGTTCAAAGCCAGCCTCAGCAACTTAGCAAGGGCCTAAGGAACTTAGCAAGTATGTAAGAATCAATATTTTGTTCCTCTCCTGGTAAATGTTTTATTTAATTTTTGTTTTTAATAGTCCCAGAGTCAATGCAATAAGTCCATCTCTGATTTATGAAACTGAGGAATGTGTCAAAGTTATCCTTCTGTACTCATTTTATTTATTGATGTCTTCTTAAAGTGCCACACATATATGAAAAAGATGTTGTGATGAATTGTGCTTTTTTGTTTTGTTTGGTGCTGGGAACGGAAACCAGGACCTTACGCATGCTAGGCAAGCACACTGTCACTGAGCTGCAGCCCCATCCCTGAACTGCACATTTCTTAAGATCGAGAGTATAAGTCCTAGAATATATATAGTCCTTTTTTATTTCTCCACATATCCTATAGCATTATGACATTTAAAAAATGTTTCTCATAATAATTTCATACAAAGTTTATATTACCTTAGAAAATTCATTAAATTATTAGGAAACATTCCTAGATTTTGATTGTTATTTCCTGATAGTACACCTTTTTATTTGTTCTTAATAAAGAATAAGACTAGCCTGGCATAGTGGCGCATGCCTGTAATCCCATTGGCTTGGAAGGCTGAGACAGGAAGATCATGGGTTCAAAGCTAGCCTCAGCAATAGCAAGGCACTGAGCAGCTTAGTGAGACTCTATCTCTAAATAAAATACAATATAGGGCTGGGGATGTGGCTCGGTGGTTGAGTGTCCCTGATTTCAATCCCCAGTATCCCCTCAAAAAAAAATTTTTTTTAAAGAATATGACTAGATGTTTAGGGTGAAGTAATTTAAACCTAATGTAATAAATTTATACAGTTATTAATATATTTAGCACATATTTGGTTAACTCTTTTTTTCTTTCTTTTTTTTTTTGAGATGGTAGTCACTGTTGACAAGGCTGGTAGGCTGGTAATGTACTCCAGGCTTTAGTGATCATCCTGCCTCAGCCTCTTGACAGTTGGTAATATAGGCATATACTGCCACACACAGCTCAGTACTTTTTTTTTTTTACTGTAAATGACCCATGCATATAAGTCAAATTTCCATAAAGAAATTTATGGCTATACAGAATTTTGAACATTGAGCTGTTTTTTTGTTTGTTTGGTGCTGGGGATCAAATCCAGGGCCTTGTGCATGCAAGGCAAGTTCTCTACCAGCTGAGCTATATCCCCAGCCCATTAGGAAAAATTTAATAGCTTAACATTGCATGGATTTTGGAGTATTGGGATATGACAAGGTTGTACATGCTCTGGCAACAAATTTTTTGGCTTTTCCTGGTACCCTAAATTTTAAAATTTGGTTCTATAAATCTAATTTTCTTTCCTTTATTAAAGAATTTTTTTAAATAAAGAAAATTATTTGGAAACATACTAAGTTATTGCTGGGACCTTAGAATTTATTTATATTATCTTTAATGTCTGTAACAGGTAAATAAAATACAAATTATTTTTTAAAATATAGTATGCTGGGGCTAGGGTTGGGGCTCAGCAGTAGAGTGCTCGCCTAGCACGTGCGAGGCCCTGGTTTTGATCCTCAGCACCATATAAAATAAATAAATAAAATAAAGGTTTTTGTGTCCAACTTCAACTAAAAAAAAAAAACCAAAAAACATATAGTATGTTGAATGGGAGTGTAGTCAGTGGTAGAGCACTTGTCTAGCATGTATGTGGCTTGGGTTCAATACCCAGCACTGAAAAAAAAATCATATTTTATAAAGCACAGTTAATTTATTTTAGTTGGTTAACAGAACAGTTTGCAAGTGAACTTTTTGTAGACTATTTTAATGTTAGTATGAATCTTAAGTAAAAGCTGTTTTATGAGAATTATAAGCTGTTATTAGGACATGTTATAAGAGAGACAGAATTAATATATCATTTAAAAGATAATCCAATACTGGTCAGGCCCCGTGGCACATGCCTGCAATCCTAGCAACTTGGGAGGCTGAGACAAGAAGAAATTCTTAAAAGTTGAGGTTAAACACTACTAATTCTTCCAATTTTCTGTCCTGCATGCTTTAAGTATATTTTCATTAAGGTGGGTCAGCACAGTGAAGTCCCTGCTCCACACTTCGTATGGTCCTGTTTTTTTCAAAATACACTCCAGGAAGCACGAATTCTGTTGTGATTGTGCTGGTTACATCCATGGGTCTCTTGTTTCACTAATCAGCTGGTTCCAACTCTTGATCTATTCAGATCTTTGAATAGATCTCCATGTAAAACCAGATGCCAAATGGACTTAGTAGTGCCAACAGTCTGTTTTTCTACCTATTCCTAGAGGAATTGTTGACATGGGAGTGTCTGTTTGAAGCTGAAAGGAAGTGTACTTGACCTTTGTGTAGATGTGATGTATGACAACATGGTATTAATGGCTTAAAGTGTTGTTCTAACATGGAATGTTGACTTTATATCCTGTGTTGTGTCATAAGAATGGCTTCTGTTTGGATTGTAATCGTTATTAAAGCTGTATGCTGTACTTATACAATATTAAAATCAGTTTTTAATATTGCATTAGGGTGTTAATTTTGAACTTGGAGTAATTGGATAACAGGAATTTCTGAGACTAGAGAATTTCTGCCACTGAAATGCTCTTGAAGCAAAACATGTTGTGTGATCCTTGGCTGCCTTGGCTAAAGACGGTTAGGTGTGGACCAAAGTTTGGCATGTGACTCTCCTCCCCAATCCCTGCCTCCAGGGAGGCCAGTTTCCTTAGTCAGCCATAATTGAACCTAGTAATTCCCTGTCACTAGTGACTTGATTCTGATATGAAATGCGTACTGGGTGTAAAGGTGGGTTCAGATCTTTTATTTTCTTGGCCCCAGCTCCTGTAGATGCCACACTTTAGAGAGCTTCAGTTTCCCAGCCATATCCTTTATGTATACAGCATATGTGTAGTGCTGAAATGTATGAGTACTTTTATTTGTTTATGTTTGATTTTTTTTAGATGGGGTCTGACTGTGTTGCCCAGACTGACCTTGAACTTATAATCCTTCTGCCTTAGCCTCTCTTGCTTCATGTGTACTTTTAAATAATGATCCATTGGCTGTTGATATTGTACATTGCTGATCTGATTGTTCTGTTAGTTGTGTTCTTTTAATTCCTTGAGTTAACTTTGGGCCTTGGATAGGAAAGAGAAAGGAACACCTGTGGTTAGTGTCTCAGGTCATCATTCATGAAAAAGGCCAGACTTTGTCTATGTAGGCTGTTAATGACCCAGGGTAGCCATCTGAATTTTAAGAAGAACCTGCAGTTGAGACAAAATGATCCAAATTTATTTTCTACATTAGTTTTTGATCGTGTATAATGTAATCTTTCTTTTCCTTTCCTTTGTATGTAACCAGAAGGCACAGAATGCACTTTCATTTTTCTCCCTGAATTAATCTTTTTTGTGATTGCTTCCATGTCTCTAGTGTTCTGTTTTGTCTATAGAGCCTATTTTCCCCTATATATGCAAATTGTATGTTTATAAGTGAAAGTGTTAAAATATTAAATGATCATTAACATTAAAAAAAAAAAAGTTGAGGTCAATCACAGCAAATTAGCAAGACCCTGTCTCAAAATAAAAAGGGCTCTGATGTGGTTCAGAGGTTAAGCGCCCTTGGGTTCAGTCCCCACCCCCGCCCTAAATAAATAAGAAAAATAAAGGCAGCTTATGGGAGTAGTTATTTTTAAGATATTTTCTTGTACTATTTATAAAATTTAGTTTAAAAACCAAATAGACCATTTAACCTATGAAATATAAACTGTTCAACTTCCCTTCAAATTCATTTTAGCAACTTTTTCAAAACTAAACTTCTGAATGTCCAGAGTCACTGACCATTTATTTCCACTTTTCCACTTGTGCCTTCTGATCCCTCTTCATTTGTTATACATGTATATGTAAGGGTTTTTTTCCCTGAATCATTTGAGATGTAATTGCAAAGAGAATGTTTCTTTACCCCTAAAGTACTTGAGTGTTTAACATTGTTTTTGTCACTCAGATTACCCTCAAATATGAGGGTTTCAGGCTTTTCTTGATGTTTTATTTTTTTACTTTGAATAATTTTATTGAGGTAGAATTTATATACCATTCAATTTATTTTAGACTGCATTTTTATTCCTTCCTTCCTCTCACTGGCAGTTGCTGGCACAGTGCTCCACCTGGCTGAGTGAATGGCTTCTTTTGGAGCTGATAAAGCTGCCTTATGAAGTCAGCTGACAGGTATACTATACCTACAGATGATGCACTTTCTCCCAGAGAGTTTGGGTTGATATTGACCCACTCTGGAATCGCTAACAGACATTCTAAGCAAAAGACCACACTTTTGTCCACTTTTGTGAATGTAACAATAAAAAAATTCTGAATACTCAAAAAATTATTTTATGACAAATAGCATTAGCAAAATGATCCTAGATCTAGAAGTCATAATTTTTCTGAATTTTTTATCTTGAAGGAAGAAATCTATCTTTAGAAGTAAAGATAAAGAACTCAGGCTCTTTAGGCTTTGTACTCATTTTGGAGTAGCATGAAAGATGTTTGAAATGACTGACTTCCATTTTTGCTTTGACATGGGCATGTTTGTGCTTTTATTTCTTTTACTACATTGCTTGGGGATCGGTGCATTTTTGCTGACTTGAGTGTTGTATCTAAACTATTAGAAAGCCAAATTTTATAGTATGTGACTTGTACTTAACCATTTTTATTCTCTTTTCTCCCCTAGGGATGAGCTGTAAAGCAACATCAGCTTGACCAGTCTATAATATTGCAGTGGATCGCTCATCTCAGTCCTTAAAGCTTTTTGAAAACCAATAGCATCACAGCTTGTTTTGGACTTTGTTACACTGTTATTTTCAGCATGAAATTTGTGGTTTTGTAGGGTCTTCTAATTCTTCGAAGAGGCACAGAGCCAAATGGTAGAGGAAGGATACAAAGTATAAATCTGTGTGTTATTACTTTAACATGCCCACGTTTTACTTTAAAATATTAAAAGAAGGGTTTCTGCAAAATGAAACAGTTTGTGAATTGATTTTGAGGAGTGAATTTTCTTTTCTTGGACACTTAATTCTATTCTGATATTAATTTATGAGATTTCTTTTGTGCATCAGATAACACCACCATTCACAAGTTAAGATTCTTGGTATTTGGATGTCTATTAGAGACTACTAAGAAAATAGAGATGAGCTTTCTTTTTAAAGCTTTTGATGTGGTATCATAGAATAGCATGTTGTAGATACAATCAGCTGCTTTGTTACCTTAAAACTAGGCATTGTAAATACTGAAACTTAAGAAGATGGCAGGTAATGTCCTATCAACACTCAGTTGTTCAGATTGGACATAACTGACATAGTTCCCCCCACCCTTTCTCTCCCTCTCCCCATCTCCCTCTCCCTCTCTCTCTAAAACCAATAGGAGACTTGTAGTTCAGTATTGTTTTTTCTGTTTCTAGTTTGCTGCTGATAATGTATATGAATCTAACATGCTGTGTAAGCTGTGTGCTGGATTCTGCACAGCTTATGCAGTGCTGCTTTGCCAAATAAAGTTAAAAGCAAAAGAGGCATTGGTGGTGTTTGACTCTAGAAGGGAGAACATTAGGTCTACAAGATCCAGAATGTTGATTGAGACCATGAAGGAAAAATTTCTTCTCTGATTTGTGAAATCTGAATAGGTAAATAGCACCGATTCTTCTGTACATTATGGAGTGTGACTACATTTCTTTAGGGCAAGAACCACATTGCATTCACCATTTCTCTCTGATGGTCTAACCCAGGGCTCATCTTGCAGTATTTAGAAAATAAATGCCAAATCAGTGATTGGGTGAATGAATTGACCTAATTGTCAGGGAAGAATACAGTGGAGGATAAACGCACTAAAACCCACCTCTCATATATAGATTTATTAATATAGTGCCTATGAAATGTGTTTCTAAGAAAGTGCCGGCTTTTGGGGATCTTGTTTACATGTTGTAGTTTTATAGATTTTATAAGATCTTGGTTTTCTTAGTGTTCTAGAACTTGAGAAACTATTACAAGCTCTAGAATGAGCAGAACCAGAATGTCCAGCAGTGCCCTCCTGTGTGTAAAGTGTGCATACTTTTGCCAAGGAGATCCTGAGTGAGCATGTGACTCAACCTTCCCTACTCTTAAAATGTTTATTACTGCTTTAAAAGTGGCTTTTAAAAATTATTTATACATCTTTTCACAAGTGTCTCCTCTTGGCTAAGGCTTTGGACAAGGAATCTAGCATTATTTGATGCCCCAAAATGTAATTTTACCATTGTCTTCAGTTTACTGTTGTCTGTCACTTCTAAGCCCTTGGCTATGGAAACCTTCACGTCCAGGACTCAGTGTTAACGTGAGGTGTTTGCTAGTCTATATCATATCCATTATACCTACATTTTATTCTATATAAATTTCTATGTTAGGCTTTGCGGATAGAAAAAGACCCTTACTATCAAGAAGTCTGCAGTCTAATTGCAGAGACAGTTTATAAGTATGATAAGACAAAACTGCTACCCAGATGGTACAGACCAGTGCATTCAAGCAGTGTTCAAGCATCTTGGACTTTGCACTTTTAAGAATTAAAATTTCACAGTGTTGAATAAATAGGATGAATTTTGAGGGAGTATTACTAAATAGGTAGCCATGGGAATAGTAGATTTTAACTAGGTCTTAGAACTTTTTTCTTTAAGAGAGCTGAATTATATATGTATGTAGTCAACATATAAGAAATGTCTCGTTAATCTTTAGTCATAATTTGGCATTTTATTTTTCCTTAATAGAAATGATATATTGTGGAGGGCAACAATGAAAATATTTCAAAAAGTTCCAGTCTAATGAGATATGTTGAAACAAAATTTTGTCTATTTTTCTAACCTTATTAAAGACAAAATTCGCTGCCAAAACTTATGTAATAATTAACTGGGTGCAGTGGCACACACTTGCAATCCTAGTGACTTGGTTGGCTTAGGCAGGAGGGTCACAAGTTTAATGTCAGCCTCAGCAACTTAGCGAGGCTCTACCCAACTTAGTGAGATGCTGTCTGTAAGTAAGAAATAGAAAAGGGACTGGGATGTGGCTCAGCGGTAAAGCACTCCTGAGTTCAATCCTCAGTACAAAAAAAAAAAAAAAAGTAATAAAAAGCATGAGTTTCTATTGAGGGTTTTAACTCTTTCCCAGAAGAAAATGACATGTGGAGGAAAATAATTTATTACTATTGTTCATGCAAATATTCAAAATCCCATTGCCCTAATTCTAGAAAATGTCATTGTTTAAAATTTAAAAAGGCAATGAAACTTTTTTAATTGGCTACAATGTACCTATACTAAAGCATCTTAAAAATGCAATGATTCTAAAATAGGATTTTCTTTTGTAATAAATGAATTGTCATGAATTCTTCAAAGCTATTCTTGGTATGTGATTATTAGCCAGGAAATAACTCCTTTTTTGTTTATTAGAAAGGTAAGCATTTTTTGGTTTTCAATTAAATGTTAACAAATTTTCCAGTAGTTTGGCATGCCACTCAACGAACTCATGTGAATATGGTAACTAATATTAAAAATGAATAATAAACATGAGAAGTTTTAAAAATAAAGTTCTAAGTGTGGTTCAGTGGACCAATAACTTATTTTAGGTAAATGCTAAAATTCTTGAGGCATATAATTCATTATTATTCTGCAGCTCATTCTGTCCTTGAACTATATTCAGTAAAACAAGTGAGTTCTGATTGAATTTCACTTGTCTCTGGATTTCTTAGAGCATTTTTCAGAAAGATAACAGTGTTTTGTCCCTGCTATACATTAAAGGGTGGCTCAAATAGAGTGCCAGTGAAAGAATCCCTCTTGAAGAAAACTGGCTCAAGAAAGTTTGTGTTTGTATATTGTAATAAAATAAAAAGAAATCAAGTCCAATAATTTTCTTATTATTCTTATACTCTCATTACTACAAAGGTAGTTGTTGGTTTCCCCCCTTGGGCTTCATTTTTTTTAACTGACTTTGTGTTTGGGGCCAGGACTTTTTATGAAGTGTCCCCTTGCTTGGTGGGAGAGAAAATTATCACTGCATTCATGGTGCTGTGCTGGGCTAGTGAATCCCTGGGAGTCTGTGATGTCTTCTCTCCTTCCCTTGTTCCCTCCCTTCCTTCTCTTTCAACATGAGAGGACACTTAAGGACTGCTTCATTTGAAGGATTCATTCTCACTTTGGTGGTATCCCAGTAGGATGGGGATCACAGGAAACCACTTTTTGTCCAAAGGTCAGTTAATGGCAGTGCTGAAGACATTGTGTGAGAGGGCAGCAGTCCAGGGGCGTGGGGTACATGGGGACCTTTGGGTTTGAATTTCCATACCCTGAATACTTTGTGGATCACATCACATAAAATGATTTGCTGCCACTATTTGTTTATGTAGGATTTTTCTCCCCATTGTAACTATCTGATCAGGATTTTGCCTAGAAATTACATTTTAAATCAAAGAGACTGCACATGTGAACACTTATATCAGCTTGAAATTGGTTTTGAAAAAAGATATTTTCTGGGGAAAAGAGCTCTCATTTCTTTAGGACCTTGGCCCCTGTGAGCAATTAGGAGGTGGGACAGAGTTGGATAAAGCAAGCCAGGAAGGCACAGGTGGGGATTTGAGCAAAGGTCAGACTTGCTGGGTCATCTACTGATACTAGCCAAAAAAAAAAAAAAAAAAGTGCCCTCAGACTGGATAGTCCATAGTTCTGATTTCTTTATTCTTCAGTACACAAACCTCTGAATAATAAATACATTTAGAGACAGATAGTTTTCTGAGTCCCTAGTTTCACCTGTGGAACTGTTCTTTAAATGTTAAGAACAACACTTTTTGATTTATTTGAATCATTGGATCTTTAGTCATGTGTATGTACACATGCTATACTCTGCTACACCCCAGCCCCAAAGAAAACACTTTTTTAAAAGGCCTTTATATTCAAACTTTCTATTTTTTTTTTTTTTTTTTTTTGGTAAATGTTACCTTTCCATTAAATTATTTTGAGACATTTCCTACATTTAATATAACTTTATAAGAAGATGCTTAAGTGAAATGTTTATCTCTTTCATGTGTCTTTGCATTTATGACATACAAGAATAAAAAACTGATATGATTCAAGAATTAAAATAAGTAGGAACGAAAACACGCTGATACCTAAATAAATATAGAAGGCTCGATTCTAACCATTCAATCCATTCATGAAGACATCTAACCTTATTTTCAATAATTGGTGGTTTCATATTTAGCCACTGAAGTAGCTATAACTTAAAATATTCTCTTTATCTGAAGAATGTACATTTCACTAGGGCAAAAGAGCTAGGAAAATGGGGCCAGGAGCCAAGAAGTTCACAACATGTTTAAAAAGCCAGTGAGATGAGGATATCTATGAATGACATACTAAGCTTTTCCTCTTTATTTGGCTTGAGCCGTTCTTTGTCAGAAATTCTCATTCAACTTTAATACAAAAAAAAAAAAAAAAAGCTGTAGAAAACAAATTATTAGAGTAGTTCTGCTGGGAAGAAAGTGGTATAATCCCCAAAACAAAATGTGAAATTGGGGATGATATAATTTAACAGTGACCCCAAATTACAGCAGCTCAGGCTCAGATTCTTGTTTTAAGGAACACATCATATTAAGGAATGTAATTGACATGATGTTTAGGGAGGATCTGAAGGTAGGGCTGCCTGTATTCTAGGCACATGCTTCTGTGTGGTGGGTGAGTTTCCATAGGAGAGATTGAGTTAAAGTCATCAACAAGGTCTGAATAGCCAAACCGAGGGACAGATGGAAATGTGCATCTCTGGGTTGATGGAAAATATACTAAACAGCCATCAGTGACTGAAAGAGGGTGTTGATACACATGATGGGGGATGGTGGGGCCAAATCCCAGTTTTCAGAGTCACTCAGAGAAAGATGAAGAAATTCTCTTGTCTTTCTATGGAAAAGACCATATTTGGTACTCAGGTGACATTAAACACATAAATGCTTTTGGAAGGCTGGAGAAGTAGCTGTTGTCTACTTGTACTGAGCATGAAGATAAAGTAAATTTCAAGTTTTTTAGGAAGATGGTTTCAGTGGGCCTTAGGAAACAAGATGTGAAATATAGGGACATGGTGTGAGAAGTAAATTGTAGACATCTTCTTTCCCTTTAAAATTATTTTTGAATTATCTTAAATGCAGAACTCCTTCAATCAGATAATCACAGGTAAGGTGACTTTAAAAAGTCCTATTCAGTCCATCTGTTGATAAAAATACTTTGTACACTTTCCTTTTCCCCAACCCCAAATATTTTATATGACTTTAAGCAAGTCACTTTTCTCCAACCCTCAATTTCCCTTTTTGTAAAATGGGGTTGGAATGATTAAACCCAAACACTATAGCAACTGACAGACTATAATAAATGATTTTCAAAAGGCTAAAGAATAAAATACAATTTATTAAAGGAATATTGTTTATGTAATATGGGGCATCTTAAGTAAATCAGTACTATAGCGATCCTAAATTATTATTAATTTCTACATGTATAAAAGGTTTGGTGATAGATGCATGCGTTATCAGTTTCATTGGGTATGGCTATAGGTGACATCCTTCTGTATAAAGACACTGCACAGCATCACAGGGAGTACACACATATTAAATTCATTCACACAGTCCATTTCTCTTAAACTGCCACTGAAATTTAAATCATTGCTCAACTCTAAACATTCCACAAAAACATGAGTTTCTCAGGAAACAAAAAATGATTATTGGTTTTTCTAGATCTTTCCACTTGCTAATGTGTTTTGATATATTTCCCACCCAAATTAAGTCCTTTGTTAAAGGAACCACCTACTTTAGATAGTCTAAAAATAAACTACTAGACTCTAGAGTATTTTCAAGTGTTTTAAAAGATTTGTCTTTTATGGTAAAAAATATATATATATAAATAGGAACATCATGTAAGCATAGACAGGCACTGCATCACACATTCCTCTCAGTGGGATAATTATTCTAGAGTGTATCTAATCCTGGCATTAAATGTGTATGAAATAATTTGTCTTTAAATACCTACAGATTTAGAAAGGAAAGATAGAATGCCAGTTTTCTCTAAGGATGAATTTGTGCAACACTGCTTTCTACTCTGGAACACATGAGCTTGGCCCTAGCTGACTGACGTCATAATAATATTGGATAGCATTTTCAAAATGGAAGAAAAAAACCTGGCTTGTTCCATTAGATCAAATAACCTGCTGTCACTTAAACATGGTGACATTTTTATAAAAGCTGTACCCCAAAATCCATTTAACATCCTGCTGTTTTTCTTTCATCAAAAAATACTCATCTTGAAAACTGGTGACTGTATGAATGGGCTGCTGCGCTGGACCATGGAACAGTGGTGAGCAGAAATCACAAAGTATTAATTATCCACCTGTTGATAAAAATACTTTGTACACAATGTTTAGAGTTGTCCTCAGGTAAGTTTCTGTTAATTTTTTTGGCCACCAGAATTACTTCCACCTTGATTTCCTATCTCACTTCGTAACCATCTTAGAGGTGTTTTTAATCCAAAGTCTAGCTTTTTTTTTCCCCTCTGAAGATCAGCCTAAGGAGGCCCCCAACTACATGACATGATGTCAAAGGCATTGGGAAGAACCCACCTTCCTCTCTCCTCAGGCTTCATCTGTTCTAAAGATTTGTAAATTGTATATATATCTGCCATAGGTAACATTTCATTGAGAGTATAAACTTCCTTGAAATCCATCCTAAGGAACATGTTTTTCAGAGTAAAAGAAAAATGGGGCATTGGAGATTAAAGAAGACTAGCGCCACAGGAAGCTATACCTAAAGTGACCCAGTACTATCAGGGCCCAGTGGGCCACATCTCAAAAGCTAAGGGTGAATGCCACCACTCTGAGGCCATCTTTGGGGATACTGACAAAACTGCCTCAGCTGACTACAAATTTCTATTTCTAGGGACAATTTAGTAAATCAGAATTAGATCTGTAAAAGTCTTTAATCACATGAATTTCTCTCTTTTGAAATATTTCATGTACTTAAGGACAATCTTTCTATAGTAAATAAAGGTTTGTGATTTGCCATTTAAAAACAAAAGAGGCTATAAATACTAGAACCTAATAAAAGAATAAATTGTACATGAAACACATTCTTCCCCTAAGTGTTTACATTTGCTACAGATACATCCCATTTATGAGGTAATCAGATTCCTCAGATGTAATGGGACGAGCTTTCTTCAGTTTCTGTTTCACCAGTCGCAGCCGGCAAGCAACCATGAGAAGCAGCAGAGCAGTGATGGCCAAACCCAATGCCAGGGGTAGCACTGCACCTGTGGAGGGTTAGAAACAAACAGGGCGATGAGCAACAGTGATAGCTACTGTTGACAGCACAGTGAGCACTTTGCATGCACTAGTTAATCTGAACAGCTCAAGTTAGTATTAACATCATTCTGCACATTAAATAAGGTGCACAGAGGTTAAGTAATTTTTCCTAAGAGTGTTTGACTTGTATGCTGAGGATCTATCAATCTAAGTCTCAAATCCAGACTTTTTAACTACATCTACCAGGTTACTACTAAATCTGTATCATTGGTTACAGACATTGCAGTAAGGTCACCTCAAATCCCCCTGTGAGAGACATTCCAATTATAGAAAATGTTTTCACTGTAGTTATGGACCACAGTGATGGATTCATATACATTTCACACATGATCATTCCCTCTTCAGCATGGATTAACTTCTGCTTTCTGGTTCTGGTTAGGGCTTTCCTGAGTCAAGGGAACCTACCCTCAGCCAGGTAGAACTGTTTTTTTTTTCTTGGTACTGGGGATTGAACATAGGGATTCTCTACCACTGAGCTAAATCCTAAGTCCTTTTTCAATCTTTATTTTGAGACAGGGTCTTGCTAAATTGCTGAGGTTGGCTTCGGATTTGCGATCCTCCTGCCTTAACCTTTCAAATCTCTGGGATTATTGGTATGTGCCTCTGTGCCCAGTTAAACCAGTAGAACCTTGTTGAAAACTAACTTCAAAATATGCTAATGTAGGGGCTGGTGTTGTAGCAAAGTGGTAGAGCGTTTCCCTAGTGCGTGTGAAGCACTGGATTCAATCCCCAGCGTCACATAAAAAGAAAGAAAATAAAGGTAAAAAAAATTCTTTAAAATATGCTAATGTAACTTTGGTTATGAGTAAGTAAGGAAAACATCTCTTTAGTTTTCCCCATGTAACTGGAGTAAGACACCACACTATAAGCAGGTTTTAAAGGCCTGCAGAGTCTGGAAGGGGCACAGTATGCCCCAGATCAGGCTTCTGTTCAAGCCCAGTATGCTCTATTCCTAGTCTGCTGTGCTCTGCAGTCAAGCCAGGGTTGGAGATGACATGGGAGAACTATTTTTAGCTGCACTGTCTTGCAACAGGTGGAACTAGAGAAACAAACATCTTCATGGTGTAAGCTGATTCTGTAACATTTTTTTCATCATTTATCCATTCATTCTGCATTAATTGATAGCTCTCCATGTGCCAGACATGAAATTAAGTGCTGAAAATAAAAGAAAAGCATTTTTTTTCTTTTTGGTACTGGGGGTTCAAACTTGCTATCCTAAGTCACTGGGATCACAGGAGTCCCCTCCCCATGCCCACCTAGCAATTTTTGGTAACTAAAAATAAATAAAACTATCTCCCAAAGATAAGCTAATCTAAGAATGCCAGATTTGTAGCTCAAATCATTGAATTCTTACAATTACCACATGTGCTGGTACTGTTATTTTATCCATTTTATAAATGAGGGAACTAAGGCATCAAGAATTAAATGACTTGTCTAATACTGCTTATTAAAGTGGGGAGCTAGAATACCACCCCAGACAGGATAACTCTAGAGCCTACAGTTTTCACCACTGTGGTACCCACTTCTCCAAAAGGGAAATAAAACTGTTTCTGAATTATATTAAGTCTTTATAGACAGATATATAAATGAAAAAAAGAAATCCATAATAAAATATTAAAGTTACCATGACAAAATTACACATGAAGTATTGATATAAAAAGGATTAATCCATCTGTCTGGTTGGTAAGATTTTTGCTGTAGTGACTTGGACATAATGATGGAGCTTGTCTGGGGTGGGTAAGGGAGGAAATTTTGGTTTTTGACATTTTCAGGTTGACATGCCTACATATGAGGAGACCTGGCTAAAACATCTGTCACCCCATTAATTGCCTGGATTGATTCAGCTGATCTGGCTGGCTAGGTGGCTGTCCTCTTTCTCCCTCATTGCTTCCAAAGCTTCAGGCTCAGTCTAAGAGGACAACCTTCCCCAATAGAGGAGGACTCTCCTTCAGTCAAGGGTATATGAGTAGCTGTGCTCCCCTGCTAGACCCTCCAATCAAATTCTCAGATTGACATGCCTATAGGTGATCCAGATGGAATTTTCTCCTGGCTCTTGGCTGATCTGGGTCTAAATATGTGAAAACCTTTGACATGAAGATGGAAACCTCAGCCATGAAACTGGATGAGACTGCCAGTGAGCAAGGAAGAAAGGAAGGCCAGCAGCAAGGTCTTGGGAAACTCCCACATCTTGGGGGAAGACAGAAGAAGAACAACACGAAGGATTACTAAAGGACGGGTTGGAGAAGTAGCAGGACAACTGAGAGGGAAGGGTATTGGGAGCTGAGGGAAAAGACGAGTCCACAAAGAAGGGCTCAGTTGGGTCAAATGCTAAGAGAGGTCAAGTGAGGCGAAGCCCAGAGAATCCGCTGGATTAGCAGCTTGTAATTCACTCCAGGAGTCTGTAGACTGAGGGATGCTATTTTTTTTTTTTTTCCTAATAAATGGAGAGACTCTGAATGTGTTTTCAGACTTGTTTGGAGAAACATATTAAAAGTACCAAGAATTACTAGATGATGGAGAAACACACCTGAGGAAAGAGGGGATACATTAAGAAAGGGGGAGAGACTGGCCTTGGAAGGGAGGGACACCTCTTCCTCCAGTGCTGGAGGAAAAGGAAGGAGGGGGATGCCATCATACGAGTTGCTGTATTTAGGGGTTGGTGGCTGAGGGAGCTCACTTCAATAGCCTTGATTTTTCTGGGCCTAAAACTAGCCCCAGGTATAGCCAGCCTCCTCCTGAAGTCAGGAACTTAGAACTGGTGCATGCTAATAAGGGGTTTTCAACCTGTAAGGTAGTTGCAGAATCCTGAGAAAACCTGAACACGATTCTCAAGAGCAGTCTGTGTCTGGCTGCAGGAGGAGAGGATGTGCAAGTTGCTTTAGTAACTGTTAATTACCAAAGTTTTGGCCAGTGTTCACCCAGAGAATGGTGGGGGGTGAACCCATCTGTGGTAGGGTTAGGGTACAGCTCAGTGGCGAAGCACTCGCCTAGCATGCCCAAGGCTCTGGGTTCCAACCCCAGAACAGCAAAACAAAACAGAACAACAAACACAACAATAAAAAACTGTGTTAAACCCACAGGAATATGATTAGAGGAGGCATCTGCGGGTGTCAAGAATCTGTCTCATTCCTCCATGATAAGTGTTCCCCCAAAGCTTCTGTGTTAATGCAGGAATATTCAGAGATAAAAGGACTGGATGGTGAGAGTTGTGATCTAATCAGTCCATCTGAGTTTGAATGGACTGGCTGGGTAACTAGGGAGGTGGGGCGTGAGTACAGAAGTTGTGTCACTGGTGGTGTGGGCCTTCGAAAGGCTGTTTTTCCCTGTGGCCCTTTCCCTTCTCTCTGCTTCTTGGTCAACATGTCCTGAGTACCTTCCTCTGACATGCACTTCTGTCATGGTGTGTTCTCTTGGGTCCATATTAATGAAGGCATCCCACCATGGACTAAACCTCTGAGACCATGTGCCAAAATAAACTTTCTCTTCCTTTAAGTGGTTCTTGTCAGATATTTTGGTCAGAGCAGTCAAAAGCAAATTAAGTCAATCTCCTAATGGCCACTTTTATGGAAGTAGTTTTGCAAGAGTTGAGTGATGTGTCGGTTCTCCCCCTACTCCATCTTCCTGTACATGCTACACTAATTTGGTTATATTACAAAAAGGAACAGGGAAAAGAAGAGACTATAGTCAATGCCCACAGAAATCTCAAGAGTCACAAACCATTTTCTATAAGCTAGAACAACACCTAGTCGCAGTTCTGCATTTTATGGGCAGAAAAACAAAGAGGCTTCCTGACATCAAGATGTGTCAGACTTGTTAAAATCTGAGCATGAATGCTTAGGCTAAAACATAAGTGAGCTGAAGGTGAAGGTCCCAACACCAACCTTGGGGTGCCAAGTTAACTGCCACAGTAAAACACAGACATACAGTCAAGGAAAACGTCCTATTCACCAAGTCAGACAGGAGGTTGCTGAACTGTCAAATCCGATCCGTATTTAACACTTTGATGACAAAGAAAATTAAATCCCCCACAAGTTGGTACTTCCTAGAATATTGAAAGTAAATCTCAATGTGTGGGTTTTTTTTTGGGGGGGGGGGGGGGTGTTTGGTTTGGTTTGGTTTTGGCCTTGGGGATTGAACCCAGAAGTACTGTTTCACTGAGCTACATCTCCAGTCTCTTCCTCTTCCTCCTCTTCTTTCTTCTTCTTCTTTCCTCTTCCTCCTCTTCCTCTTCCTCTT